ACCAACTAAGGCTATAGAATCCAGCCCCCTGATTATTTGGAAGCGATGAATTTATACCTTTCCCAAATTTGTCTTTCACAGGTCAGATGTAATTTCTACTCGTGCAGTTTCTTCCGGCGGCCCCAGTTTTGGTGGAGCCGACTTCCAAGGGAATGCGCTCCGATCACAAATATCTTAACCAGTTCAAGTCTAGGGTAAACCGTTATCTTCCCCTTATATCTCCATAAAATGTGCCACTTTTTCTGTAACTCTCTACCTCGAGTGGCTCTTGGGCATTGTACAGGAGGTTCCAAAAGTCGCATTACCATAAATAACATTGTAAATTTTATGTTTATTTCCCAAATGAAATCCTGTTTCTGTCTGTGGCAATATATTAAGACATTTTATTGGTCGAACTGTGGAAGATGATGTCATGCAAATTTTCCCTGGTTGCTATTACACAAGTGTATGTTTTCTGCCAATTGTCGCGCGACTTTTGGAACACCCTGTAGATTGAAAAAATTGCGCGTAAGTGAATGTAATGAATACGACTGAAATTCGAAATTATATACATACACACACACTCTCCAAAAATATATGTTTGAGTGTAAGAGAAATAAATACGTATTTCGCTGATATTAATTGAGTCAACCAACCAAGGTAGGACTATGATTTTATGGTAGAAATGTTGGAATACATCAGCTCTTTTATCCAACAATGCTTCGTTTATAGTGTATTTCAGAATTTAGCTTCATGAAGGATTATAAATTTCAAAATCAACATAACAACTGTTGCTCCTTCTATGTACACGTATCCCTTCAGGATGTAAGCAATCATGGCTTTCCACTACTTCCTATCCTTTGTAGTCCTTAATAAAGTTTGTCTATTTCTTAAAGCCTGTTCTACCAACTATTTACATAAGTTCATTAGGGAGATTATGCTCTGCTTTCTCTGCCCCAATTCTATTTTTTTTTATAATGAGTGAGTTCACCGTTGCTTCCTGTATAGATTCCGACAGGAGTACTGTTATAGAAGTATTTACAAAGATTTGTTCGGTTGTGTAGGGAAGAGACCAACAAAATACTAGCGTTATCGGTTACTTTTCTGTGGCCGAGATCCTCCTAGGAAATGTAGTAACAGGTTTAGCTTGTGAAGAAATAAAGAAATGGCAGTATATTAATCAAGTAGGAACAAAAACAACATATGCTACTTGTGGGTTATTTGTCGAAACTTAGAATACGTTTCTTGTCGATCATCTATCGCCATCTTTTAATTACGTATTGATTTTCTTTTATGGTGTTAGATGTGGTATTTAAAATGTTTCTTTAAATTTGTTTTTCAGATTGTTAAATGAATCTTTGACGTAGCAAAATTTTACACATCTGTATTTGTGAAAAAGTTGGAAAACTAATTTAAAAAGCGACGACAGATAACCCACAAGTACCCAAATGTTTGGAAAATAATTTACCAGTGATGCTTCACCCACTCCGTAGGGGTGGAAGCACTGCTGTTGGTTGCTCGGGAGATTTGACTGAATCTTCTCGTTTTCTCCCACCTGGTTAAAATGTGATTGTGCTTTGGGTTTAAAAGGGGCTCTGTTAATAGACGAAGCGGCTACTATTGTTGATATTTAACAGTCCCCCCCCACCCACGAGGAATGTATGTGGCACAAGGCCGAGTTTAACGTGGGTTTCTCCGAGCCCGTAGGCTCAGCCAAAAAATATTCCCTTAGAACTCGCATAAGCGGGTTCGGGATCTATCTACCTCCCCGGACGAAATTTTGCCCTTCGGCAAAGCTTCATTCGGGTTTCTCTCTGCCAAAGCAGAGAGTTCAACAGAGGTCGCACACAATTAGAGACTGCGTGTCGACTGGCTCAACGCAATCGTCAAGCCACTATTGTCAACCACTTATTTGTTCTGCTTCGTTGCGTAGAACATCTTTTTCGCAGCTCTGCTATTGCTACCCCTGCATTCTGTGTATCTTTGCTATTTTTTTAAGATAGAGCTAGAGCCGTCTCCGTCGAAAATTAAGGGATTTTTTGACAAATGACAGTGAGGTAAATTGAAGAAAAGTATAATATGAAACTTCATTATCGGTTAGAATAGTCCTCACAAATGTTGACTTCAAAATTTCGCATAGCCTTGAAATGTTGAGAGCGACTTGTTTGATTCAATGCTTAAATTGTAAATATTTCCATTGATGCGTATGAAGTAATATTGATGTGTATGTGTGCGCGGCTCGGATTGAGGAATCGGAGAGCCGAGTTCGAATTCCAGTCGAATCTATTACATTCACTTACGTGTTAATACCCTTGGGAAAGTTATGAATCCTCTTGGGTAAGTAGTAGGACTTGACTTGGTCTACTGCAGAAAGAAATGGCAACCTCCTGCGGGGGAAAATATCTGCCTTGTCAGTCATGTATCGAATGATTGGCTAAGCATGGTACATAACTGATTGATATGTGCGCGTAGTAATAATGTGAATGTTCCAAGTGAGAGTACGGTGGCAGCGAATGTTGGACGGTCTCCTCAAAGGTGAAGAAGAGATTCGAGGCGAAGGAGATGTGGTTCAAAGCTGTGAGCAAAGTGTAGGACAAGCAAGGCTTAAGAAAAGTAGAGGAAGCGATGGAAAACCACTCCGTTATTTTTCCCTAGAACACTGATGACTAAAACTCTGTGACTTGATTGGACTGGAGTCTCTTTGGTATAATTACCCATGCTTCTCTGCAATTCCCCTGAGTAAATGCTGAGACAGGTACAGGTATTTTATTTTGTCTTCTTTACCATAGAATCAAACTTACTCGTTAATCCCCTGCTTTTTTTTTTCTCTCGCTCTTTTCACTATGTCTCTGAGGATTTATTTCCACGTGCAAAACTACCGCACCTACTTTGACTTGTTGGAATAGGCAAATGTAAGGTTTACCAGTTTCATTTGCATACTGATTTTGGAGGCATCGTGGTGCAATGTCCAGCCAGCTGGATTGGTAAATTATTAGTAGTGAGTTTGTTTCCCAAGTGGTTACCATTATTTGTGACCGTGTGCCAAGATCGAGCTACATTTACTAAATGGCAACTTACATATTGATTGCATATGCACAAACATTTCATGCACACAAATAACTCATTACAAAAGTATTGTCCCAGCATATTTCAATGTGACACCGAAATTCGAAGGCGCATTGAACTAGTGAAAATGCCTTTCATTAGCTAAATAATGTATTAAGAAACATAGAAATTTCGTTAGAAACAAAATAAAGAGTACTGAACTGCGACGATAATATCAATCCTTTTATATGACAGTGCTAAACAATCACAAACGAAGAGGAGACTTAAGGCAGTAGAAATGTGGTTCTACAGAAGGATGTTGAGACTGGCATCGACGGGTGGAACATATTAACAACAAAGAAATTTAAAAAAAAATAAGAACAAAAAAGACACTTGTAATTAGTATCAGAAAGAACCAGTTGAAATGTCTGGTATGCATGACGAAAGAGGGCTTGGAGAATTTGATATTCACATGACATATTGAAGGCAAGTAGGGAATAAGGAAACCGTGAATCACTTACCTAACGAATTTGGTCACCTCGGCGTGGTGTAATGGTTAGCAAGCTTGGCTTGCTAGATCAGTTACTACTGAAAAGTGAGTTCGATCCTCACTGGATGCCTCATACTTTCGGCCTTGTGCCACATCTAAGCTACGCTTGGAAAATCTCTACCTAACGAATTTATGTGAACGGATGGCAGAACAAAGAGTGTAAGGAATAGTAAGTGGAAAACATTGCTTAGAGTTACAAAGGATAGGAAGTTGTAGAGACTCCTGATCGCCCATGCCCCGAAGGGACACGGCATAAAAAGGAGCTTAATATATATTGTGCTATACATTGAATGTAACTTCTACATAAAACTTGCTCACATATCTATTGATATTACGTTAACCTTAAATGAATAAGTTTGGGTGGGGAAGCTAATGAATTAAAAAAAAACGTTTTGGTAAAGCATGTTTATTGTTATAATAAAGAATCCAAAATAGTTTATTTCTGGCTGCTAGTGTTAACTTGTAAACATTAAAATTAATTACGTATGAATTATCTGTATACTATCTATTGAATTTGAACTCTTTTGCGAAACCCTTTCAGCGGGAATGAAATTAGCTTCTTTTTTTTCCCCAAGTGAACGTACCGTAGCAGCTGGAAACCCGAATTTCTATGTTTGATACGCCCAAGTGCCTATCACAATTTATAAACGGATAAATTTGTACATATGTAAGCTTGTAAAATTCAGAACGTCCAACAATAGCACAACATCGTTTCACTTGATATCGGCGAATGTTTCACACTGATCATTGCGAGCGATTCGAGCCGAGAGAAATTAATTGTCTGGACTAGAGCCAAGCATTTCAGGCCGGTCAAAAGGCAAGAACAAAACGTTGAGTGCTTTTAGAAGCGCATCAGCTGAGATCTATACGTAAGAATCAACCTCTATTAATTAAGTCCTATCTGACAATGGAGATAGAAAAACCATCAATTGAAGATCAAGTGCCGTAGGGTAAAATGTACGATTGCTTTATGTAAACCTTAAAGGCAATATTAATCTCTTGGTTCAGGGACTTGCTCTGCATAAACACCGATTTACAATGAAACAGCCAAATGGATCAATTTTTCTAAAGTTTCTGAATAAAGCTTTTTGGCCTCTGAATATTCCATACCGCGAAAAGAGTCTAAAATAATTAAACTTGTTCTTCACAGTTTAGCTTTTGTGTCTTTGATTTGCTTGATTTGTTTATTTATAAATATTTTTTCGCTTTGTCTATTTGGGGCGATAGTTGGATTTTTATGATCTTTTCATTTCCGAGAATTTTATTCGTCAAAGGCAAATTAAAAGTTTAGTAGTTGTTTGTTTATTTTTTTCTTTCTTTCTCTTCCTTTTTTCATTCTTTCTACCTTCTCCTCCTTTTTTTCATTCGCTCTTCTTTCTCTTCCTTTTTTTTACATTCGCTCTTCTTTCTCTTCCTTTTTTTTTTACATTCTTTCTTTCTCTTCCATTTTTACATTCTTTCTTTCTTTCTCTTCCATTTTTACATTCTTTCTTCTCTCTCTCTTCCTTTTTTTCATTCGCTCTTCTCTCTCTCTTCCTTTTTTTCATTCGCTCTTCTCTCTCTCTCCTTCCTCTCTCCTGTCTCCTTCCTCTCTTCTCTCTCCTTCCTCTCTTCTCTTTTTTTCTCTCTCCTTCCTCTCTTCTCTTTTTTCTCTCTCCTTCCTCTCTTCTCTCTTTTTTTCTCTTTTTTCTCTTCTCTTTTTCTCTCTTTTTTCTTTTCTCTTTTTCTCTCTTTTCTTTCTCTCGTTTTATTTCAGTTACTTCTTGTTTTATTTAATAAATAAATAATCATTGCTATTCTTTGATTTTTTTTTTTTTTCATTCTTTCCATCTTTCAACTCTTTCATTTTTTAATTTCATTCTTTCGATTCTGGTCTTAACTTTTCTTTCATTTCATCTCTAAAGTTCCCATCATTTCTTGTTTAGTTTCTTCTTACGCTTTATATATTTTTTCATTTTGTTTATTTCTTTGATTCCAAATCCCCACCCCAAATCCTTTTATTTCCCCAAAATTGTTTTATTTCGTTCTTCGCCCGACACACTTGCTAAATATCAGATTTTTGTGGTAAGGTCAGGCTGAGAACTTTTTAGTACGCCTAATAAAATATTTACATTAATAATTCTTTTAATAATTACAATGACGGGTGTGCTGTAAAGTTTTCGGCTAGACTCACTTTAAATTAGGTAACAACATGAAATCGCTGGAAAATGAGCATACCAGGATAATAAAGGCCTTAAACTTGACGAAAACAAACTTTTATCGTCAAAATGTTTATTTTTTTTCATTAAGACGAAAGAACAAAGTAATTTTTATTTTAATTATTTTTAAAAAATAATCAAAAAAATACTTTGATCTTTCCTCTTTATTATAACATAAACAGTTAGACAAATAAAAATTATTTTCGTCAAGTTTAAGGCCATTTTTATCATGCTATGCTCGTTTTCCGGCGATCTCATGAAGGTACCTACAAATGAACCCAAAATTTGTTTTTCTTTCTTTCGTTCGGCTTTTTTTTTTTTGCTTTTCTTTTTTTTTGTGTGTGTGTGTATGTGTGTAGGACTTCTTGGTAAAAGCCTAGAACTTTTCAGCACCCCTCATACTGCTACTGCAAGCAAATAAAAACTTCTTTTTAATTGTTTTCGCACTTTCCCCCACCTTAGTTTTTTGTTCTTTTTTTTTTTTTACATCAAAATCTAAACATCAGTATAAAAAAAAATCCTAAACTCGCTAAACAAATAAAAAAAGAAAACAATAAACCACTTTTCAATGTTTGTCCATGTTTTCCTCTTGTTTTTAATTTCGTTATTATAATTTTCCTTTCTTTATCTGACCTGGTGCGTCCCTGTTAGTGTTAAGTGATACGTCCAATGTATGCCTGACATCATTGCAAAGAACGACCACGTCGTATATTGTCCAAACTCAATCTAATTTCTCTGAGCGTTTCATGGCATTTTAATAGAGACACATTAGAGGCCTTCAGCGACATTACTGTAATGAAGCTAACACTCATGTCCTCTAATACTCTTGTCAAAAGGGATCTCTTTGAATCGTTAAAACAAACTTTTTATGGGATTCCAGATACTATAATTATACACTTGCTTAAGCTCAACCGTCCGCACTCGCTGGTCTTAGCGATTGCGTCATAAAATCACTTACGGGTTAAAAGCCCGGCAAGAGTCGAATAAACTGGTATGGAATGAATGCGGCCAATTTAAGCACAATTTCTTTCCAGAGAAACACGTCCCTGCTTGCCACTACCGACGGTATCTTTCTTGTATTATGGTAATAAAAAATGATTCATCACTACGCCTTTGCGAAATTACATACCAATAAACATCTGTTCTGTTCCACAAAATTGATGCTACTCACTCAAGTTGATTAATTATTAATAACTTAGTATATTGCCTGATTGTTGCCGAAAGACTTGTAAGTCTTTTAGTACATTTTCATTCTAAAATCAGTTTTATGAGTAAAACCTGCTTCATGTTTCTGATTCGTTGTACATAACCTGTACTTCTTGGGCATTTCGACGTGGTGTAATAGTAAGCTAGCTTGTCACGCAAGATCAGTTACGACTAACTAGTGAGTTCAACCCTCACTGGGTGCTCCATATTTGCAGCCTTGTACCATGTCTAAGCTACGCTTAGTCAATCACAAGGATGTGCGGGTAGTGTAACAGATACCAGTGCGGAAACTGGAATTGGCGAGCCAAGTTCAAATTCCGGGCTAGTCTACTGCATTCACTTACACAAAAATATCTTTGGGCACTTTGACTTAGTGTGATGCTATATTGTCGCAGCTTTGTGCCACATTTAACCTATGCTTAGTAAATCACTAGCGGGCACTTCGATGTAGTGAAATGGTTAGCAAGCATGTCTCGTTCAATCAATTACGACTGAGTTTGATCCTCACTGGGTGTTCAGTACATGCGGTCTTGTGCCACATCTAAGCTACGCTTAGTAAATCACTAGTTGGCACTTCGATGTAGTGTAATAATAGTAATCCTGCCTCGCTGGATTAGTCACGACTGAGTAGTGAGTTCGATTTTCACTGACTGTCTCATACTTGCGGCCTTGTACCATATTTAAACCTACACTTAGTGAATCAATATATAACCTATTCTTCTCAAGATTTAGGACGTGGCCATATACGAGGGACGGTTGAAAAGTTCTCGGCTTTATCCACTTCTCAAAATCTGGTTAACTGATAACACATTTCAATTTTTTAATCACTTGGCCAGGCCGATAAATTTTCTAACAGCTTCCGGTTCACGCTCCTTCCTCATCTCTTTTGGAGAGTAAAGGTTTATCCTCAGTTTCCTTTTTATGATTGGGCTTTCGGTTTCTTTCTAAAGCCTTCTCATTCTCTTTCACTCTCAGGAGACCCCCTTGCGTCTTACTAGCATTATCGCCTTACATGGGGTGAAATGATAAAAAATAAAATAAAACTGATTTCAGTATTAAAAAAAGCTCTACAGGAAGTATGCGTGTGCCATGTTTGTTCATCAGATTGTTTTAAGGCATATATGATGAAAGTACCTTTGAAAAATATTCTTGTACTTCATTATTCACAATCGGTCTAAATGTCTTCAACTTTTTTGTTGTTATCTGTTGGGGATTAATCGTTTGTCTGCCGATTTATAATCTTCCACGCAGAAGTAAGGTAGATTATGGGAATGCTTAATGCTATATATATATATATATATATATATATATACACACACACAAATATCTATCTGTAAGATGAAATATAGTTTTAAAGTATTTATATCAGGGTTAGGACGTATATAGAGATAAAGGTGGACACGGAGGTCAACACCGAATGGTGGCAGCCTGTTTCATGAAACAGACTGTTGCCACTCGTTGTTGACCTCCGTGTCCACATATTTTAGTAAAGAAAGATTGTGCACGTATGCTTCTCACAGAATATGGGTATAGCAAGCCGATGAGAAAAATCCGAAAGGACATAATAATAATAATAATAATAATAATAATAATAATAATATTTATTGTATATAATTAGGTCATTAAACAAAATAGAAGCATGAGATAATGTTAAAACTGAATTTTCGGACGAAAACTAAAATGGGGGAGAAAGGTTTTAGTTACATATCTTTATTCAAACCTGTAACAAAATACAAGGAAAACGGCAAGCGAACCGAATTCTGTTTCGAGAGAGACAGTTATAAAAATAAAAAAGAAAATTAGAAATTTTCTCTTGGCAGTTTATAAACTAGGATAGAACGTCTTAATTTGTTATTATAATATGCAATCCCCGCCCGCTTTACCGACGGCAACTAACTTTTACTAACTGATCTACAGGTGAAACCGCGGTAATTGTATAGTTTATGATTTTATTAACCATATTTAGGAGAAAAAAACTCTTGCCGCTCAAACAATAATCTTCTTCAGTAACATTAGTGTGTTTGTGTGTGTGTGTATATATATATATATATATATATATATATATATATATATATATATATATATGAGACATTAAAAGAACATAAGGAAAATTTATTTATTTTATTTGCCTGAAGAATATCAAAAATATGAAGACTAAAATATAATATATATACTAAAACAAATCCACATTATAACCAAAAACCTTTGCAGTTTCTCTTTTTTTTATTTTTTTGCAATATACATTTTTCTCTCGTTGGAACAACTATAACCTTTTCCATATATATATATATATATATATAAAATGTGTGAGAGAGCGAAATAATCCTTAAAAGGACGTTTTACCTGAAAGTAATGGGAGAAGAGAAAATGTCACCTATCGTATGGCGAATATTAAAAATGGTATATGCAATAAAAAAGACTCCAATCTACCTCGTGAAATTTGAAAGGAACAAACATTTCTTACATGGACATGAAATAATATAACAAAATATAATTCTTACAAAAAATCTTGCACAAAAATTTCCTCATGGCCGCCTTATTATGAATAAGGCAAGATAACAGATCAAAAATATAGAAATTATAGCCTCTTAAAAAATACAATACAATCTTCAAATCATGGGAAAAAAAACCTTGACGGTAATACAATTTTAAATAAGATTGCAAATACTCTTTACAAAAAAGTTCACCCACCAAATAGAAAGACGAAAACGCCAAACAGCTTGGTAGAATTCACGTGTGGCACTGGAACTTTTAACAATATTTTTGAAATTTCTTTCTACTTTTTTTCAACTTCCTTTTCGTTGTCGGTAGAAGCGTAATTGGTTAGTATTTTCTCTTTGTTCTTCCTTTTTGTTATCATAGAAGTTGTTACCATGGTCTTTGTGAATGCCGAAACCTTTCAGTCTTTTGCTTTCCAAGCAGCTGCTAGTAACTTTTGCGTGTGAACGCCACGATTCCTTCTACTCCCTGCCTCCCAGCAGCCAGCCAGTCACCATCACACATGACATCTAACTCCCTCCTTCACATTATCCACTGACCCATCTATCCTCGAAAGAGGTTCAAATAAGTTTTAACATTTAAATTTACGAGGGTGGAAGCCACTCTTTTGATTGGACAATAAATACAAAGAATATATATTTTGTAAATTTGGAAAATCAATCACCAACAGTCCACCATGCTTGTTATTTCTGGTGGTTCTTTTATTGCCAATTCTAACTATAGAAACTTTTACAGACAAATGTAGCACATGAAATATATATTTTTTTTATAAATCGTCACGCTTTCATTTAAATACACATCTCCCAAAAGTAAGTGTATAAGACCAAAAAAAAAAAAAAAAAAACATAAATTATTATTATATTTATTTTATTT